AGTGAAATGAGTCAATCACAGAAGGACAAATATTCTATTAGTCTACTATTGGACTAAAAAAGGTACTTTAAAAAGTCAAGGACAGGTTTATACATAGAAGGAAACTTTCTTTATTGATTACCAAGGATGGGATGGGTGAGGAGGGATAATTGCTAGATAGCTAAGAGAGAAATATTGATTTGTCAATACTTTGACGAGAAAAGCAACTTGCCAAAATAGAGTAACAAACATGGCAATGCTAAGGAAAAGGAAGATGCAGAGTGGTGCACAAGAGGTACAGAAAAAAACAAAGATAAACATTTTTACATATACAATACTGCATTATCAGCAATATTAAACATTAATCTATGGATAAATAGATGGGTATTCAGGCTGAATGATCGGATATGTCTAATCAAAAGGGAATATACCCATGATCATATATAAGGTTGGCAGACAATATTTCTACTTATGTGTTTGTATGTACTGTAAGAATGCCCATATAAATAGAACTAACAGGAGGCAAAATTATTATAACTTTTTAGTCACAATCAACCACCCTAATTGAGTGAGTTGTTGGACCAGTGGGCTTGGGACCTTGGCTGTGAGGGACATAAAGCTCAATTGGCATAACATACTACACTAAAACATTATTCTACATCCTACTTTGGTGAGGAGCAGCTTTTGGTCTCTTGCAAGGGACCTACATGCAATATTTTGTCCCTCTTCATCCAGAGCAAAGAAGAACAAAGAAAACCAAAGACATGTGGAGACAATCAATCCAAGAGACAAGTGGGCCATTCAAACTTCAGCCTACATGACCTTGAGACCAGAAATACTAGAGTGTTTCCATCTACCCTGTCAATTACTCAGTAAGAGATCAGTGCAGGAGATTATGGATAAAGTGGGAGAACAATGTAGAACAAAACTTAAAATCATGAAAAAAGAGCCAGTCTTACTGGTTTGATAGACCCTGGGGAAAACCCCAAGACTGTGGCCCCTAGTTACTCTTCAGGACTGGAAATAAAATCACTCCCATGGCTTCCGGCCCAACAATAGACAGGCATATAGGGTGAATACTTACACCAATAAATACACTCCTTAGAACTATCGATTGTGGGAGAACAACAGAAGGGCAATATTTGCATAGGGAGATAGCTAAGAGTTCAGGGATGCATAGGAAAGAAGGACACAAGAAAGAGGTAACTAGAGGGAAGAAGTGGGAAGAGAGCTGTTATTTTTTGGGGATTGCAGTTAATGTCAGAAAACAAAATGTGTGTGAACTGCTGTGTGTAAATGAATTTGCTCTATCAATTTTCACCCAAATCACAATAGAATACAAAATAAAGATGTATTATTTCAGAGATGAAGCAATCTTTTAGAGGTCCAATGCAACTCACAGCCACTGAGTCGGATCCAACTCATAGCACCCCCTCCTTGGGTTTCCGAGGTGATAACACTATAGGAGTAGAATGCCCAACTTCCTGCCGAGGAGGGGCTGGTGGGTTTGAACCACCTGTCATTTGGTTAGCAGTCAAATGCCTTAGACACTATGCCACCAGACCTCCTTTTAGACATCCAAGAAAAGACAAATAAGGGGGTGAGGGGATGTTACAGACTTAGATAAAAATCTTCAAGGCACCATCAGTGGCCCTTATTGGAAATGGTGACCAGGGCTTGATTTGTAGTTAGGTAAAGCCCTTATTCCTTTCCTACCCCTCTGTAACCCAGCAACAATCTTTTCAGTGCCCCCTTCACCTCTTTGTTTCTGAGGGTATAGATCAGAGGATTCAGGAGTGGGGTGACAATGTTGTAGAAGAGTGTGAGGAACTTGCCTTGGTCTTTGGAGGAGCTTGTTCCTGGTTGCATGTACATGTATATTATATTTCCATAGAAAAGTGAGACCACAGTGAGATGGGAACCACATGTGTTGAAGACTTTGTGTCTCCCTGAAGATGACTGGATACTTAACACAGCCTTCACGATGTAGCCATAGGAGATCAGGATAAAAGTCAATGGTGACAGTACAATGCCCACTGCCAGAATGAAGGCAATGCCTTCCACAGCAGCTGTGTTGACACAGGCCATCTGAATCAGGGCTGGCATCTCACACAGGAAGTGGTCCACCTTTCGGTACCCACAGCGGGGCAACCACAGGGTCATTGGGGACATAATCAAAGAGTTGGCCACACCACATCCCCAAGCAAGGGACACTAATCCCAGGCAGAGCTGAGGATGCATGATAATCATGTAATGTAGGGGCTTGCAGACTGCAACAAACCGGTCATATGCCATGACAGCCAGGAGCAGGCATTCCACACCACCTAGACCCAGGAAGAGAAAGAGCTGGATGGCACAACCAGTGTAGCTAATAGTCTTATCATATCCATTAAGGTTGTAGAGAAGCTGGGGGATAGAGCTTGTGGTGAAACTGAGATCAAGGAAAGAGAGATGGGTAAGAAAGAAATACATAGGTATGTGGAGATGAGGGTCCAGCTGGGAAACCAGGATGATGGTGGTGTTGCCCACAAGGGTCAGGAGATAGGCAATCAAGATTACCACAAAGAGGATTCTCTCCAGATGGGGACGATCAGAAAATCCCAAAAGGATAAAATGGCTTTGGGAGCTGTCATTGTTGCCATCCATCATCTCTACTGCACCTGAAGACAATAAAAACAGGAAAAACAACAGTGGCAGCCACAAATATTAAGAGATTTCATTTCATCAAGACAGTCTTCTATGCCTTTTACATTTATTTATCTATTTAACCCTAACAACAATAATATGGTACTGGTACTATTATTATTTCAAACATACTGTAAGGAAAAGCTAAGGCATAAGCACAAATAAATAGTCATATCTAAGAAGGTGTAGGTGCAGAGCTGATGTTTGAACCCATGGTATACGGCTTAACATTGTCATCTTAACCACTAGTGATATTGCCTCTAACTTCAAGGAATTGAAACATAAATTCTGTCTTGACAAACCAAGAGACACAGTGCTTAAGCTCTTGCCAAAACCTAAGAGACCTAAAATGGTGCCCCCAAATTATCAATTAATTAAACAAATAAAACAGTTGCCATAAAGTCAATTCTGACTCATAGAGACCCTGTGTGTCAGAACATAACTGCACTCCATAGGGCTTTCAATGACTGTGATCTTCAGATGTAGATCACCAAGTCTTTATTCCAAAGTGTCACTGGGTAGATTTGAACTGCTGCCAAACTTTTAGTTAGTAGCCAAGTGCTTAACCATTTATGGTACACAAGGACTCCTAATCAATTAACAGTATGCAAGAATTTTTCATTATATGTCATATACTTTAAGTAGTCCTAGGAGCTCTGGTGGTGTAGTGCCTAAGGCATTTGACTGCTAACCAGAAAGCTGGTGGTTCAAACCCACCAGCCACTCCTCCTAAGGAAGAGTAAGCAATCTACTTCCTTAGGGATACTGCCTCAGAAACCCAGGGAGGTGTCTCTATGAGTTGGATCTGACTTGATGGCAGTGAGCTTCTTCTTTTTTTTTTTTTTCGACCTAATCTTCATCCCAAAGACACGCCTCACAACATTCAAAGCAAAGAAGATATACAAGTCTCAGAAACAAATATAAAGGAACAGAATAAAATAACTAGTCTATAGCTTCAAATTTCTGTGGTCTGATACCTTGTTCAACACTAACAAGTTTGAAATCTTGGAAAGTTCATTACGTTTTCATTATTGCTCACAAATCAGGCCTGCCTTGCTTATTTTACAGATATGTTTTCAGATTTTTTTTTTTTATTTCAAAGAATTTTGTTAAGTATTAAAGTGGTTATGTAGGTTAAATAAAATTGTATCATACAAACAAAGAATGGGAAAATACACATCTGAGGCTAGGCAAGGCAATTCTAAAGGGGAAAAGGGGGGAAAAAATCTAATGAGAAGAAACTATCCTCAGTATATAACCAAATATATTTTGAGAATATAATCAAAACATGCTTTGACAACTGACTAATCATTTATGGCAGCAAAAAGTGTGCACCCATACTTCACTACTACCACAAACAACAATTGCATTAAAGTATTTTGAAAAAAATTACAACTGCTAAAAGGAAACAATAATTTTCCTTGTTTTATCTTATTTTCTCTCTGAACAGCCTCAGTTTAGGCAGAACTCACTAGGAAAATATGGTTCTCAAAAAGTTATGAAGAAATTTTCTTAGTGGTCATTGAGTTTATGATAGTAGTGGTAGAGTGATTTGAAAAACTGCAGTGCTAATGGTTGTAGGACTTTTAGGATGTAATCAATTTCACTGAATTGCACATGAAGAGGTTATTGAGATAGTGTGTTTTGGTACGTAAATTTCCACCACAATGAAATTAGAAAAGCTTTGAAGCAAAATACCAAAAAAAAAAAAAAAAAAACTGATTGCACATTAAAAATAATCCTCATTCAAAGAAGCACTATTAATAAAACTTTGACAATGCTAGAAAGTCAGCATTATAATTGAAAGGCTTTCTTAATATATTTTTCAATCAGTAAGAAAAGGTAAATAAAATAGCTCATAAATTAAAGTGACAGTTCACAGAAAAAAATACAAATGATTTGCAAAAAGAATTCTACTTTTAAACACTGGGCATATTCTCACTGATGATAAAAAAATACAAATTAACATATAAATATAAATGTTTTCAAAGAAGTCTGGAGAAAAGAGCACATTCTCATAAATCCTTGTGCAAATTTACTCTGGAACAGTATCTCTGAGAGATTTTTATAAATTTAAATCAATATTTTAAATACATATATGCCTTTCCTTTGCATATGTTGTTTTGACAAAAGAAACATCTGCTCCTAATAAAATTTCCAATTACATTTATAATCCATTAGTTGCAAATCTAGAAATACATTCAGCATTTATTATCTCCCCAATATGTGTATACACATCCTAAAGAGTCTTGATTATGGCATTGTTAACAATAGATATTACTGGTAAGCAAAATCTATGTTTATGCTTATAGAAAAGATTTAAAAAGCACATCTTTGTGAACTGAATTCCTATGTTTATAAGTGAGAAACTGAGGAAGAAAAATTGACAGATTCCTCTGAATGTATAGGAACATTCATGAAGGTTGCTAACTGCAAAAACGACATAGAGGAGACATTGCCTGACCTTCTCTGACTTCAGAAGTGAGGACGAGGATCAAATCAGTATCAATAGCCCAAGAGTGGTTCCTACAAGCCTGAGGCCAGACTACATCTACCCTCCAAACATTTGATCAATTCTAACACTAACCATTCTTTCCATAGCACTCTCTGTATTTGATAATTCATTGCAATGGCCACAGAACTCACAGACAACACTCACAATTATGTGGTTTATTAGGGAAATAACATGTTACAATTGAGGATCAGAAATGCTCAGGAGACAGTTCTTTTATCAGAACTGCCTCCCTTCAGCTGTGTCCAAAGGCAGGTCTCTCTCTGCTCCTCAGCCCCTCTGCCTGATCTCTGTCCTGCTCAGTAAGTGTTAAGCATTTTAGTTCTGCTGATAAATGCTTAGGGGCACTTCATTCTGCCAGTAAGTCTAGGCCAAAGGCATTCAGTTTTCTTGGTCTGTGGATCAGTGAGCCATGTTCCATGGATGTATGACCAGAGGCACCCAACTCTGTTGGCAAGCTGCCTGCTGAAAGTCACTCAACTTTCCTCTTCCATGGGCTGTCTTATACAAGTCTCTTGGTTCTGTTGCCTCTGTTTCTCACCCTTTCTTATTCATATCCTTCCTCCCAGGTCTTCTATTATCCAGGTGGTCTCTTTATTTAAAAAAAAAAAAAAAAATTAAGCAAATTGTTACTAATTTCAAACTCGGTACTTCACTCATCCAATCTCATTGAATTTTCTCTCAGTGTGAGTTTGAGGAGAACTGGAGTATAGACACAGTTCTGATATTTCTTTTCCCACTGCGGTGGTCTCCTCCAATTAGAGTATTTGTTCCTTCCTTCCTTATTCTTTTTCCCTCCCTGGTATCTTAAATTAGAATAAGTTTTTGCCTTTTTTTGTTTCGTTTTACCATTTTTTAACATTGTCCAGTACATTTTTTTTTTCTTTGATTGTAGGGGAAACATTTCTTTCTCCTACTCAAAGCTCTCTCTTGCAGAGAACTAATTCCTCCCACTACTAAATCAGGATTCTTCCCTTAGGAATGGGTGGTACATGAAAAGATCAAAAACTCAATCTAATGAATGATGA